CTTTTACTTTCGATTGAGCATTGTGGTATTTCTGCTGTGTCCATAGCTTTACATACCAAGATATTTGTGTGAAACTGAGTGTGCACAGTAGCTGTCAGGAGCACTAAAATACATAGAACATGATTAGTTGCACTGCTGCAAGGCCCTTGGGTTTATGTTCTGTGATAAAAGGGAGAATCTGCACGTATCAGAGACACACCCAATTTTATAACCAGACTCCTCCAAATACCAGGATCCCCTACCAGAGTTTATACAGCTTCTCACTGCAGAGTATGTAGTATTTGAATCTGCAAGGTAGTTATTATTTTAAATAGAATTTATTAAAATAACAGGTCATATGCATGAATTGTAGCAGAGCTGCAAACTTCCCAGTAAAACAGAAGCATTCAGAACATAAATCAGACCCAGATCTAAAAATAGCATTGGATGCAACTACAAAAAAATCCAGCAAGTAAGGCATTCATAGCAAACACTGCCTGAGAGCTTGCGAAACAGAAGGAAACACTGTCAGAATTAGAAAGACACTGCGTGATTCACTGTTTTTCATGGAACTTTCTCAGGCACTTCCTCTGCTGTTGCAAAAGGCAGTTCAGAAATGCTCTTTCAAAAAAACAGACTATCCTAATATGGCACTGACAGAGAAAGGAAAAACAGCAGCACCAGCATGGAATCCTAGGATTTATTTGTAGCTTTGTTTACTTAAAACCTGATAAAATTAGTTATATTACATAATGCATACCTTAAAATGCAGAGAACAAACTTCTTGCAAGAGCAAACTCTTCAATTTACAAAAAATTCCTGTACTTGTCCTCCTACCAGGAATCAGTGACCAAAGACTTTATCCCGGAAATGCAGATTCTATAAAAAATTAACAGATGGAAGGAGATAACTCTGTACTACTCATTGATAGGAGATGGTTCCTGTTATCTTTCACTCAAAACACTGCTTTTAATCAAGATATTTTTTATTTAATTTATTAGCACGTAAAAGGAGAAAAATTTATCTATTATCAAAGTATTCCCCTCTTGAGTCTGTCATAGGGAAGTACTGGGAAGTTGCGTTTGTCTTACAGAGCCTGTAAACCAGGAGCAGTCAGGCGGGATTAGTACAACGCTTAAATCCTTAACTTCTCTCTGGAAAACACAAAAGAGAATCCTGTGTCCCCAAAACCTATTCCCCAAGCCAACATAATTTGATTAGGTTGAGCTGTGATTTTTTCAGCAAAGAAAGGCTGAGTAGCACAATGTATAATGTAAGAGGAGACCTTAGAGAAAGAACGATTGCCACATATATTCTAACAGCAGCTCCTAAAAATGAAAATGTGTGAGGTCAGAATCCACATATGTGAAAGAAGATATGTTCTTCAAGAAGTGTGTTCAGACATGTACACAGGCTCCAGACAGTTTAAAGGAGCCAATAGCTACCACCAGACCAAACAGAACAAAAAGAGCAGCCATTTCCCCTTTAAACCAAGAACAAATAAACAAAGCCCCCAAATCCTGCTGGCATTCTGTCTACACTTGACCAAGTAATTGTGTGACTTTGAAGTGATTAATCTATTCTTGATTAAGTCCAAGTATGCATATTTATTTTGGAATAAGAACATAATATTTAACATTTTCTAGGCATAGCTCCATCGCTCAGGACAAGAAAAACAACTCCCCAGATCTCTGCCTTCAGTTGTGGCAAACCAATTTTTACCAGTAGAGGTATTAAGACTGAAACCTGTCACCTTTAATACAGATGGCTATGGTGTTTACACAGCGTTCACAGCATTAAATCATAGACATAACAGGAAACACATCTGATTATCTCTTTTATCAATTAAGTAAAAACAGAAGTACAGTTTTGACCTCTGACACCTGTGTGGAGACTGCTCAGCAGGGTAGTCTACCCACAGCTTGCCACCTCAGTTTAGTACTGACATTACTGTATTCCATCAGGGCTACCAGAGCAGACACAGCATTGACATTTAAGCTTACCTAAAACACATACCTACCTTAGAGCTGCTCTGTGCATGGCTGAGGGTTTTGCAGTTGCTGCCTGGTCCACCACCACCAGGCAGGGGTTTGGCTTGTGCTCTGCCGTCCCCTACCAGTTTCCCAGCAGCCTCTCTCCCCTCAGGGTCTTGCGTTCGCCCTCACCCTGCCTGTTTTGGCTGCAAAACTGGACCAACACACAAAAACCCAGCTCAGCTGCTGCCTAGGCTGCCATATGAAGTTGCAAAGCCTTCTGCTGAGACATGTTGGCCATCGGCCATTTCCCAGCCTTCCTGATTCCTGACGCTCCTTTTCCCTCCCTCTCAACAGCTCACCTGAGGTGAAACAAGATGGGCGCCCTCAGAGGCCTCTCACAGGAGCAGGGCTGCGGTGGTGCTGGTTGTGGGGTGAACGATGCCAGAGCCAGCTGGGGAAAACTTTCATGGCAGTACTGGACATCTGCCTAGACACAGCAGATACTGGGATGTAGTGGGATGAGGAGAATTTACAGAGTAGGCCATTGCTGTGGCAAAGCTTGGCTCTCAGTCACCACTTCCACTCACCATACTGCGTGGTTTTAGGTAGTTGGCTCTTATTTGTGCCCCATTGTCTCCATTTGAAAAATGGGAATTATTATGCTGACCATCTGTGTGGAACATTTTGGGCGATAAGCAAAAATAAGTAAATAAATAAACCTTGCAATTCTGTAATTCTTCACATCTTAGCCCATTTTTTCCCCTTGTTTTCCACCCATTAAAATCTAAGCATTCTCTCAGATCTGTCTATAAAAAAAAATTGGACTTACATAGTAATATTTACTCTACAGAATGACCCTCTGCATGCTCATTCTCTGTGTTAAACAAAAGGTCATTTACAATTACTTTGTTAACTTATCATTATTTTTTTTTCATAGGCAAAAAGAACACATGGGCATTTGCTATATAGCCAGTGAGTTACCTGCTGCCAGCAGGTACTCAAACAGCAAATTTGCAAGTGGACCTATATGATGCTTCCGTGTTAATGTGTAGCAAGAACCCTGACTTTGCTCCGTTCATTTCTGTAAGTCTCTTCCTAGAGATTTTACCTACTCATATTATGGTTTTCATCTTAACTTTTTTTTATCAAAGAACAGCTTTCACAGATACCACAATATTTTGACAGCTTTTTTTTTTTTTTTTCCATACAAGTTTCCATTAGGAGATACACTAGTATTTTGCAGTAAATACAAGTCTACTTCATATTTTCAAACTGATTTACATTTTCCTCTTAGGTATAGTCAACTCTGTTTTCCAAGATGATAGGAAAGATGCCTGGAACACACAAAACATTAATGCTGGTAGGAAAAAAAATGCCCAGATACCAAATTATAGGGGACACTGGGAAGCACTGTGCAAGGACACTTGATGGAATTAGCTCAGGTTCAGCTGGAATGACAAGTTCAGGCTCACCATCGGTGTATTACTTGCTTGCAAAACCACATCACCTAATGTACACTTCTTTTGCCAGCACAGAACCCAGCAATACATGTATATCTGAAGTGTGAGCTATCTAGGATCTGGAACATTGCAGGAAGCAGAGAGCTCCAAGATCATTATTTAGGATTATGGTGGTCCCGGACTGACACATCCAGAGCACAACAGATATCTGAATTGCAATTCTCTCTCTACACAAGGATCACAACACAGCTAAACCACAGTTACATGTTAGTTATCACACAGACAACTACTTGAATGTACTCAAGTGATTGCGATATTTTATTATTTTACTATTGAGCTGGGCAATCACACATTGTGGTGTGTTTTTTATTTATTTTTTAAAAATATTTTGCTGGTAAACTCAGGGCTGTTCTGCCAGGTAATTACACCTACCTGGAATTATAAATGTCTTAGCCTGGACAACAAGGAAGTTCTGAGCAGGATCAAAAAACAATCCTTTCAGTGGAAATATCAGTAAATTGAAAGCTGTATTAGCAATAAGTACCACCTCTGAAAATTAGTTTATTCTAGGCATCAGGAACATTCCAGGTACATTCAGACTTATGGACATCACACTTGGACTTTACCTTCTCCTTTGATCATTCCACTCTGGGTACTTTGTACAGTTGATAAAGGAATGTCACAGGCCAACTTCCATGTGTAAGGAAAGCATATTTTCTTTGCCATAAAAAATTCTAAGAAAAAAACAAAACACACAAAAACAACAAAAAATGTTCTGGTGCATTTTTAATTATGTTAGATTGAAGAAGGCTTTCCAGGCTGCTCTTCACGCAGGGCTAGTTCTGTTGTGCACTGAAATAGAGGATTTTATGGCTGTTTATATTTCCAGCAAGTAAGTGAAACCTAAGTACACGTGAAAATAAAACTGAAAGACACTGATGGTTTTGTTCTAAGTGTGAGATGCAACCCTAGGTATTGCTCTGTCATACAGCATAGCATTACAGAAGTTCCATCCATTTTGTTCTAGGAAAATTCAAACCACACCGACCATGGTTGTCACTTTCCCCGTTAGCAGAGAAACAAAGAACTCGAAGGCACAACAGAACCTTAGAAAAAGGATGGGGGAAGGGCAGCAAAGAACCTTTGGCCATCAATAGGCTTCTGCTATCAAATTCAGTCTTTTTTTCATTAATCAGTCTGTACTCCATCTGGGAAAAATGGTAAGATCACAGGTTTTAGATAGCTACTCTTCCCAGCTAGGTTTCTTGTGTCATACAAAAGTAATCAGCTACTACTCCACTGCGCACTTGATACTACATCCCTCTTTAATTCCTTTCACATTGGATGTTTAGAACAGAAATGAACAGCACGTTTGCATTTACTGGCATTGGTGTAGCCCTTGAATTTATTGCCATTTAGTGAAGACTCTACATATTCCATCAAACCTCCCATACTGGATAGCAGTCAACGTGGTATTTATCTTTTGCTACCTCTGCAGTACTTTGCAATACTTCAATTTTCTTCTTCCTTCCTTGTGACAAAAACTGAAAACAAAACCATATTTCTTTATTTGTATCTGTGTATGCTACCGTTTTTTTTTTTTTTTTTTTTTTTTTTTCAGTTGTGAATATACTGATAAACAAAGGAGGTACAGGATAGTTTGTATAGGTTTTGGCCCATTTTCTTTATTCTCCAGATAACTTCTAGAACAGATGCTTAGGTATTAGATGACCCTATATCTCTGTGTCTCATGCCAACATAGAACTAAGAATTATCAGACTCACTATTACTGTCCTCCTCAGGATCCTATCCCTCCAGAAGATAAGCCCATATCTGAACACATAGGACTTAGTAGGTGAGCCACTGCTTCTTTGCAAAGATGTGCTGGTCAGAATAATTTTGCCCACCTGACGCATGAATCATCCCCTCAACCACTCAGGAAAAAAATTTAAGCTTTGCCCATTTGGGTATACAACCATGTTCAAATAATTTACTCATCCTCATTATTTTTTTTTGAGATGCTGCAAAAATTGTTCCTAATGTTTTTAGTTTGCTCTTGCTGCTACTCCTGTTGAGGGAACAACAGGACTGCCTTCTATTTCTGACCTCATAATGCATATGAAAGGGCCATCAAAGATGGAGAGACTTTCAACACCTGATCAGTATTTCCCAACTCTTTTACACCCAAGAAAAGTGATTTCAGAACTTAGCACACTACTGAAGAAAAAATCACTATTCATATGCTTTAGGGTAAGGCTCAGCATGCCAGAAGTTTAACACAGGCCCTGAACTCCATGTTTTCTTTTCAATTGTATTTGATCACCTATCACAAGAAACCTGTTAAAAGGGCAACGTGACCTAAGTGTGTTCACAGGCACAATAATCTTCACTCTGCTCCTACTCTCAAAAGTCTCACTGGTCAGTTTTTGAAAATTACATCCTCTTTCCTCCCCCCTTTTTTGGGCTAGATCCCAGAACATATTTGAGGGAGTGGAGCTGACTGTTAACTGCATCCTATTAGTTCTGCTCAAGATGGTGTGTCATTTCTATATAAACAGCATCACATTCTGTTAATAGCCAATCACAGCATTCTTAGTTCAAACAGGCAGGGCAAAGACAAACAGAAAACAGCACAGATTGTTAAAGATACTTCAGTTATTCTGAAAGCGTATCGATGGTCAGAAGAATTTCTAATTTGAAAGCAATGTTAACATCACAGATCTTTTAAAGCATTACAAGTAACTTCAACTGATGGGAATTGTGGTTTTAAATTTTCCTGCTGAAACCTTACTTCTAATTACTCTAACATAGTATCCCACAAACTGGATGAACAAGTGCATTTTTTGATCAGTGTCCACAGACAGAAGAGACATTTTAGCCATGTATACAAAGCTTACTAGTCAGTTGTAATATCAGAAGACTGCTTAGCATCCCTAAGTTCTTCATATAATGTTCGGTTTTAACCACAGCAACATATACTGTTATCTGTCTTGCATTTTAACCTTTCTTTATAGAAAAACTAGCACTACCGAGTACAGGTCAGTAACCTTGCTTTAGAACACTACAAACCAACAGATGAATAATGCCATCTTGTGACAGTACTGCAACAGTACACCAGACTCCCACACAGCAGATCTTCAAATGGTTGTCCACAGTACCTTAGGAGTATAGACCATTTCCAAAATAATGGATGCAGGCCTAAGGAAAGCAGCCCTTGCATCTGGAAACGTTCAAAGGGTCTGCTTGTGTTTTTATGGAGCGTGAAGGTTTGGATGTGTGAAGGTTTGTAAGTGAAGGAGGTACTACTATAAGAGCATGGGTTTTCTAAGAATATCTATACCATAGATACAAAACAACGATATTTGACAGGTGCATGGCTTATCTTATAGCATCTTGTCCATGCATCTGGAAAATGTATCAGAGGTTTAAAAATGACTCATTTTCAGATATGATTTATCCCCTTAGAGTTTTTGTGTGCACTAACACACTATTTAAAGTGATAGCAGTTCTTTAGAACTGCTACTGCTTTAACAAGCAATTAAAGTGAAGCAAAAGAATTTTTCATAGAAAATATTAATACAAATCTGTAGTAGCAGCAGTTTTTAATTTACCAAAAACTGACATCTATTAGCAACAGAACATACACAAAAATACCTTTGTTTATACAAATAAAATTAGGTTCTGAATATTCACAAAGTAATAGAGCAACATTTTTCTTCACATTGACATTCATTGTTAATCAGATCAGTTGTGATATAAAAACCCTGCATGGTATTCAGTCAAGCACCATGGCAGACAGTGCATTAAGATCTCTCATGAATGGATGATCAGCTAGTATTTGATCAATCTTTTGTCTCTGCTCATAATCAGGAAATATTTTTCTCAGGGCTTCTCTTAGCTGTACTGTTTCTGAGGCAGATCTCTGGGGTGGAATTGCTAGACAAGCATTCATGTTTGTTTCCAGCGGAAGCCACGTTGATGAACAATCACTGTGTGCTCGGTTTTTAGGCTGCCGACTGCTACTGGTTGGTTTGGGGACTTGCACGAAGAAAGGTGTCTCAGAAGAATATTGTCCACTGTTCTGTAAAGCTCTTTGTGCTGACAGAAAATCTCTGTGGAACAAAATTAAAGTTTTGGTTAAATTAAGGTAGAGGGAATGCTGTGTCTGTACAACCACAGAAAGAAAAAGAAAACCTGCAGCTCTTATACTTCACTGCTGCTCAGCTAGCTACTGACTGAAAAATGTGTATCCCTTGATTGCAAAAGTGAAGCAAAACTGCAGGTAAAACGTTTTTCAGCTTGAGTCTGGCATGCTTAACAACATTAACTAACATTATCTACAACTATTTTCAGTATGCTGTGAATAATAGGACATTTACTTGGCAGAATGACCAACACTCAAAGCTCATTTTATGGAAGTATCAACACCAGTATCATTAAGCTAAATGGATAAGAAGAGATGTAATGAACGCATATACTCTGACCCAGAACATGTGAAAACGTGTACAGACCAGAGGGCTTCAGCTGCTCCAGTCCTCATTTATTTTGCTCATGACTGAGAGCTGTCAGCTGTGCCCATATTTAGGTCAAAGCCAGGTTTTTCTCATTTAATATCCTTAGCAAGGCAATAAATTTTTCATCAATTTCAGGATTTTAATGTTAATTATTGAGATTTCATTTCAGACTATTTAAAAAGTTGTAGCTACTCAACACTGCTAAATTTAGGGCCAATTCTACTTCAGACACCACCAAAATAACACAGAAGCATGAACTGGAAATCACATTACAGTCCATTTTCCTATGACCGGGGGAAACTATAAAAATGACAAGGCTCTATTTTAAAAGCAGTTAGGGTACAACCTCCCACTACTCGGCATGGAACAGTTCTCTAATTGCTTGAAATCCTTCCAGTTTCTGATCTTATGCCCGGCAACCAATGGTGCCATTTATGTTTTCTGTGTCATTTAACTCAGACAGAAAGGTCACAAGGAAGGAACAAAATAAACTTTTTACACTGGCACCTTTTCTCTGTATTAAACAAACAAAACTCAAGACAGACCACCACAGACCAAAATCAATTTCCGGTTCCAAATTTCCAGGTAGGAAACCAAGCTTCTTCTAGACTCCTTCCAAAAGGTATTGTTTCCCCCAACACTCCCCTTCCCTGCTTCCACAATCACAGCCACCTCATGACACTGTTACCACTTGATTTTCCTTGGACACAGGCAGCTAAAACAATATTCCAAATAACATCTCATAAGGGCTTTATATTACAGCTTCAGTACTTTCCCAGCTTTTCCTTTTGCAAGTCCATTACCACACTTTTTTTTTAATGCCAACATTACATGGTTATCTTCAAGTCAACCTACAGCGTATTGATACAAACATCTCTTCCTCAAAGTTTTTCAATAGCCAATATTCCTGCTTATACTTTCCATTAATCCTGAAGTGGACGTGTTTGCATTTTGTATCACTGATCTTTAATTCTTTCACTTGTTTCTGAAAACCTCTCTCGTTATTCTTCACTGTCATTAGTATTTATAATTTCTAAGCTGGTGAAAAAAGAGCAAAGATTGCCTTAATTTCTTGTGCAAAAACAGTAAAACCATTCTCAAGTCTTGGCACATAACGGAGAGCAAATTCATAGTTATGAATACATGCACAGAGTAAAATAATCTTAAGTAACAATATGTTTATTAATATTAAAATTATGAATCAAATATGAATGCACTTAACAGCTCTCCAAAACGGATTTATCAGTACCATACCCTCAAGTGTGAAGTGAAATGCCTCTCCTGTGACAAAGAATATGAATTCAGACTGTTTCTTTTGTAATACCTCTTGTCCCACTATGAATACCGAGTAAGTGATCAACCAAAATATTTTAAATACCACCACGCTGTAATAAGCAGGCAGACCACCACATACCTAAACTACCAGTAGGTTTAGGAAATTATAACACACTGTATGAAAGCCACCACAGTCAAAACCTCAGAGGAAGTTAAGGCATTTGTCTTACTTATCTTCGTTTTGAGAGAGATGTTGATGCAAATGTCACCAGCACTTTCTGAACAGACTGAAGTAACAGGGAAAAAAACATGTTTTTGTTAAGCAACTACATGCTACAGCATTCTGGTCTGATTTCACTGTACCGTTACTATATAGATCTAACCAAGTCTTCAAGTGAGCCACAAAAACAGGTCAGAAATCGTAACTGTCTCAAAAAAAAAAAAATAATGGTGCTTATACCTAGAACAGCCTTCACTTCGAAGGAAGTCATCTAATCTAGGTCCGTTTCTTCCCAAAGGATCATCAGGAACCATAAAAATGTCCCCCGCAAAAGTGTACTGGAGCAACCTGCAAGAGAGTTCTTTCAACAATCTTCACTAACAATGAATTCACCACTCCCCACCCTTCACCTCCAAAGCACAGCACAATCCCTCTTAGAGCAAACACTTCATACCACATCAGGAGCTACTGAAGCTTAACTAGTACATACCCACTTTAATTACAACCAGCATTCATTGTCAACATAATTTTATGGGCCCTTATTCCCACTGCACTGCAAAGTACTGAGGGTTTTTTTTTTTTTTGACAACACATGTTGGGTGACTGCAGAGACCAGGATAGAATTTTCTAGATTGTTGAAAGGATTGTTTTTTTTTTTTTCTTCAAACTTCTAAGGATCCTCAAACATGTAGCAAAAAATGCTCGTGTTATCAGAAAGCCAGACAGCCAGCAAACATTGTTTAGATGCTTACAGTTAAGAGACAAAGAAGCCTTTTTTCTGGAATCATTTTGGGACAATGAGAAATCTGCATTCAAAGAAACCAGTTCAATTAAAATTTGTCTGTGAGAAGAGGATTTGGTATAGTGGAATTTCCCCAGAAGTAAAACTAATAGCAGATGTTAACACAAGATCTTGAGAAAAAAAAAAAAACACAACAAACCACAGCCTAAGTATGACGTGCTAAGTATTCTTGCTAAAGTAGCATATGAGAACAGAACCTGACTTGGCTAAAACTTGCTAAAGAAATAGCGAAAATATCTATGTGACTAGATAAGAACTCAAGCAAGTTTTCAATGATTTATTTCAGTATGCCTATGCAGAACCCAGTCACTGCTGTAGATGTATGCTCAGGTTATCAGGAAAATTGAGAGACTAATAGAAAGTTTAGGCAGAGTAACAGAAGACCATCCTTTAATAGTAAAGGTGGCCTGATCTAACTGAAGGAAAAAAAAAAAAAAGCAACAACAGAAGAAGTTGAGAAGTTGCACAGGAGAAACTAGAATCCCCAGAGAATCTACAAATTGAAACAGGAATACTTGACAGCTAAGCAAACTTATCTAAACCCACAGGACACAACAATTGCAGGGAAACAGCTGCAGGGATACGTTGCAAGTGTTCATTACGTTGTTTTGCCATGCCCATTTGTTGTACTACAGTAAGCGTGAGTGAATCTGAAACCTTAACAGTGACATTGTGCATCTGCATCATCCATTATATCTCTTTGAAGAAATGAAATGTGTAACAAGAAAGACTGTGAGAATTGACCTAACAGGATACTACTGTAACAGGACGTGACACTGAACTTCAGAAGGGGCGTAACTTGGCTGCCATACAGACTTTCTACTTACATGACCAATTAAGAGATCCTTATATGAGCAATTAAGAGACATGTATTAGAGGATACATGAATAATAGGAACATTAGGCGACTCAACACACAATTATAAGGCCATTAATCAAAGCAGTGAAACAAACAGTAATTTCTTCATCTCTACCAGAATTGCATCACAGATAACCTTCCTGGGGGATTTTTTTTTTTTTTTTTTAATTACAGTGCCTACAACTATAAGGACAGACATCCTTTAAATTTTCATAGAAATCTAAGTAATTACCTTTTCTGAATAATTTCTCTCCAGGCAAATGATTCTGTCACAAATTCTCTGAAGTTATCATTAGTCACAATAACACCTCCAGTTTTATCAGCAAGATGTAATAAAAATCTGTAACATTCATTTTCAAGACAGTTAAGGTAGTCTGCTGTGCTGAAAATTGTTCAAAGATCTAGAAAACTAAATATTTTCACCATCCAAAAGTAACTTATTTACATGAAAACAAACATTTGAATTACCAGCAAATTACTTCATTTTGACCCATTATATGGCTTTAAACAACAAAGTTTTAGGTAGCATTTATTTATTTAGTGCAGTAGAATCTTTATGGAGGCTTTTTTCATTTGTGGGGGGATGGCAAACACCACAAAACCACAACCCCCCCCCCCACCCCCAAACCCACAGATTCATCCGATTCTGAGATATTTGTAGACGTACGTTGCTTGCTTTATAAAAGAGTACAATATTCACTAAACATTTTATCCCCAATTTATTTTGACATACCTTCTTCTTTTAACTTTAATGTCTGTGTCCTCCAAGATAGTATTATGCATGTTACTAAATTATTTGCTTTGTCAACATTTGCTAACAGATTGCTGCTACCATTTTGTCATTAAATAATGACACACTAACTATTAATTTATTTAGAAAAACCCATGATTTTTACCTGTCTGAAAATAGGCTTTTTGCTAGCTGAAACACTGTGTGGAGACTTTATCAACAAGATAATAGATGTTACTTTTTTTTTTTTTTGAAGACAGATGGCTACACTTCTGAACAAAATGAATCATAACATTCATTTCCACAATAATCTCAAATAAAATTACTGCACCTGCACAGTATTATATATGAAAGCCAGGTGTATATAAAAATATTAGTGTGTATCCAACTCCAACTTGGCTGCCTTCTACAAACTACTGGGATTGTTTTTGCTGTATCATTAAGAGATTGGAGTTCCTCTACTTTGAAGTATAGAGCACTTCATTTAGCTTTTGCATATCAAATTTTGCACTCAGGTAAAAGATTGTACAATTAACAAAATAAGCATTGCCCATGATGTAAAGAACTTGACAATTCTGCAGTCAGAGAAAAGTATGACTGATTATTAGTTAGAACACTGCACTTGCTGTCAGGAACAGTTTCAAACAGTTTCAACAGTTTCATCTGAGCACAATTAGGAAAGACGGTTGTTGAGGAGAAAAAAAAAATCAGCACAAAACCCCCTTAACTATTTTGTTCTTCTGTGTATCGTGACTCACAAAATTTGGCAATACCAATGAAATCACTAACACGCCCTGCTACACCTACAGTAAGACCTAAAGCTTAGTAGTGCATTGTTCATTGAAAAATGATTCCCACAGTCTGAAGCTAAACTTGGGTGCTGAAATTAACTTGGAAATTGAATAGCCCACACATTGTTACAAGTACACTGGAACAAGTACACACCTGTATTTATATGCAATAATGACTTCAGAGAAAAAGAAAAAAAATATTACCTGAACAGTAGCTAATTTATGTTAGTGCTCCCCAGACTTAATAGATGATTCAGGGATAAATCAGTTATCAATAAAGCATAAAAACCTTACTGGAGAATTCATTTCTTCCTCAACGTAAATCATGACATTTGAAATGGATTCACTTTTTTTCCTTAAAATTGCCATGAGAATTTTCAGAAATTCATAGAAAGTAGCAAACAGTATGTACAAAAATATTACGAGATTTACTTTCTTGCATTGTTATAAGAAACAATTTTATAAATAAAGCTCAGCCTTGTATTGAATGCACAGAGCTTTGTTTAGACAGACTGAACAGCTGGCCAGTACTACTGATCATGAAGTACTAAGCTTTTACAACCATTAGCTGAGTTTGAACATTTTATAACTATGCATATTCCACACCTGTCATCATGAGCAGCAATCCTTGCTCCCAAAACCATCCTTGCAGGGGTTAAAGACAATATTCCAACATCCTGGAGCTGCGTTAAGAAATCCTGTTCTGTTAAAACATGAAACAACTGTTCAGTTTTAAAAACAACAGCTTTCCTCTTAAGCTATTTATAGATGACAATTAGTCTGATATAATTATCAGAGAAGATAGGTACAAAAATAACCTATTAATTTACAGAAATGACATTGATACTTGGAAGATTAGTAATACAGAAATAGAAGAGGAAGATGTTGAACAAGAAATTAAACGGTAAACAAAAATAATTAAAAGAGGACTTCCACTTATGGCCTAGCAGTTAAACAGCATTTCAGAGTGCCTCACACTGTATGCTGAAATCAGATTACTCATGCTGAGCAGCCAAACACTGTTCATACTTTCTTTTTCATTTATTTTCACAGAAATACCCTAATAATTACAATTTACTTTAAATAAAGAAAACATTAGGAAACTATTTGCCTTACCTGTAATGTAAGGATCGCGTCTTGTTCTCCACTGTGGAACAAATACAGTAATATTTCTGTGGCCACGTTTCCAGAAGTAGTCAACAGCTATTGCAATTCCTCGACAGGAGAAAAATTTCTTTAAACCATGACTTGGGGAGGAATGCAAGGAATGGGAAGAAAAAGATGATGAGATTAAGTTCACTAGAGTCTATGAATACAAAGAAAACAGAACATTGCAACATGAAGTTGGAAATTTTACCTTTAAAAAGAGGCTAATAGTAATGGTTTCAAAAAACCTATTGGTTATACATTAAAACTATCAGCACGTATATATGATAGTTCCAAAAATACAGTCCTACTACAAAATGAAACAAAACCTCTAAGTGGTATCCCAGGATTAACTCTAAGAAATTCTATGATAATCTAAGATATTAGGGCCTCCTTTCCCTTCATTTCAACCAACTCAGCTACTATATTCAAACAAAATAATGAAACTTCTCTGGAGAAAGTTTCAAAACACTGTACATGGCAATCCTTTTTCCTTTAGAAAGTAAGATGCTCTACTTGTTTTTTGCAACTCAATTAAGTGACTTCCATGAAAATCAACAATTGCCTACTATGAATGATGCAGAGGATGGAGTTGATAACCTTGTAAGGTCCTTCCCAATATGAATTATCCAATGATCTATCCAATTATCTATTTAACAAATGGCAGGAAGTCCTCCTTTGTGTGACCAGACTCCAGGAATTGAGCTTCAAGAGAATAAAGAAACACCTTAAAGTAACGCACAGAAGATGGAACAAAAGCTATCTCTAGAATAAACTCCTACAAAACACCTATTAGGAGCTTACATAAGGCTAAACATATCAAAGGCTAGACTTCTACAAAACAAAGACATACATAGAAAAGACATTTAGGCTGATTAAAACACACTATAATTGAGAACTGATGGCATGAACATACAAAGCATCTCTTATTATACGAAGAATAGTTTATATTCCATATTTTGAGTTAGATGTTAAATGACTGTTCCAGCAATCACTTTGTAGCAAGTGGTATTCATATTTTAAACTGTTCTTCATTTAACGTGTATGATTAGGCTTATATTAAGCCTAATATTAAGCCTTATTAGTTTTGAATGAAATCTTATCCTTAAACCCCTAGTTTAACCAACCAGGAAATCTTCTAAACACTGAGTTCTCTACAAGATCTCCATGCAAGTATTTTACAGTGAAATTCAGCCTTTAGTAGGATTCAAGAAACCCTTTCAAATTTCTGTATGCACTTTACAATAAATGTATCAAAATGTGAATCTATTAAGATTCTCTGACTGAGTTCAGCGAGAACCATTTTATGCAGAAGGGCAGAAAAATTAGTAAGCTACATCTGAACTATAAAAGGCAGAACATTTGACTTACTAACAGTTTGGGGGGGGGAAGAACAGATATGCTACACTTGTCCTACTAAAATTAAGAGCAGAAAAAAAATCTCGTCATCGCAGGAGAGATATTCCTCATAAGCCTTCTAGATCAAACCTAAGTGCAGTCATTGTCCCCCTAGTTTAGTGTTGGATACCCCACTCTGTAACCTGAAATGCTTTGTTAAATACTTTTACTATTTAAATGGTTCTCAGCTGGACTTCAAGAGATGTAAAGGTCTCAATGTTCATGTTGAACATGCCTTCTCTACTTCTCCATTCTCCTGTTTTAAACCTTTACATCTGCTAACTACTACATGACTGTATTCTCAATTTTTAAATGTTTAATTTTTTTCTCAAATTTTAAACGTTTTCACGCAAGGCAGTCAGAAAGAAACCCGCAGCAGCAGCTCCTGATTAAGCAGCAGCCCCATGATCACCAACTCCCGCTCTGAAGCGATTAAAAAAAAAAGCAAGTATGCTACTAGAAACAATATACTTTCTCAAATAGCACGTAGAATTAAGCTAAGCTGTAAAATGAATAAATACATTAGTGCTAGATAAGCAGAAATCTGATACTTTATTTGAACTAGGTAGGTGTTTGAAGGACAGCAGGATATCACAGTAAGGTGGTCTTTTCAAGGTTTCAAGACATCCACCTAAAAGACTGCACCTGTTCCATAACTGCCACTGTAAATACTATCAGCTATCCGAGTTCTTTAAAAACCTAGGATGACCCTAAATAGGTATTTCTAAAGATAAAGAAGAGATGATCATGGAGAGCGTAAAGCAGCAAACAGCAGATTGCTTTCCAGGACACATAAAGTCTTCCCTTTGGTTCTGTAATGACATTAAGGAAAGCATGTATCACAATTCAAAAGCCATTCTAGCAAGAATTCTAATTCCATCAAATTATTTTTATTCTGTTCCGAGTTTCTTCAGCAATTCAGTAATATTTAATTTAAAATGAACTATCTGGACACTTCAGTCTACCCTGAAAGGTCTGTTTTTAGCACAGGAAAAGAGGCAGTTTTAAAAAATACTTCTTAGCAGTTGGAGTAAAACGGGCTCCTTTTCCTTCAACAAATACTGAAACTACAGTTAGCATTAATATAGTAACGTGCAGTTTTTACTGGGCTGCATGTGACAAGAGAAAAATCTTCAGCTTCTTGCAGTCTTCCAGATTTAGGACCCAATGTAAGTGGAGATTCTGAAGCCCATTCAGCCTTAGTCCAAGCTTATGAGCAAAGCATTTGTATCTGCCTTAAAAAAAAAATAAAAAATAAACAGGCCTTGACACTTAGGGTGCAAAAATACACATGAATGGAAAGGGATGTCCATAACCTCAAGATACTGAGAAGCAAAACTGAAAAGAAGTCAAAGCAAAATTGAAAACAATTCTTCGCCTTCTAAGATGTAAGAAAATAATGAGGCTTGATTTAACCATAAGGAAGCTGCAGAATACCTACATTAAACAACAAAACACACATACAAAAAAAAAACACAAACAAAAAACAACCAATACACAAGCTCCCCTGCATTGATTCAGTAGGATGTTTAAACATCTACCATTCTGCTACTTTTGGTTGGTTCCTCTGCCCACTGTTTTCCCCACCCACTTTTTTTTTTTTTCTTTCTGTAAGGAGAGTTTTCATTTAGTTGAGCAGCAGGAAGCAGATGTTACAGAACCATATTTAGGGACTGTCTGTACATCAGTGGGACCCAGCTGCTCTGCCCTTCAGCAGTGATCTCCTAAGTATGCACCCCAAGACAATCCATTGGGGCAAGTGAAGAAAATGTTAGAACTTCAGTAATGCACATATACTTACTCATTTGTCAATAACATACATGTATTGGGGCGTACATGCTCAATTTTATTTATTTTTATTTTTTACTGACAAGGATACACAAACAAGAAGTCTGGAGACTGGTCTCAGCCTTCAGAGCACTAAGTGGGTGCTTATTCACTGCTTTGTTACTTCGTTGGTTTTAGATGTATTTGGTTGTTCTTAAAGCAAACGCATCTTCTTAAAACACCATGTTTCATACTATGCTTTATCTTCCAACATCATAAACCTTCTCTGTGGGAAGAACTATACATTCTCTTACAACAGAATGCTGAGTTTAACAGTTTCAGATTAAATATGTAGATAAAAAAAATCTCCCTGCACTTAGAAAAAAACAGACAAAGAGGATGTGGTATATTTGTTATTTTCTACATGACCCCAACAATTTACATTTCTCTTCCACTAATACACATTTGGGAAATGTTTCTAAAAAATTCAAGGTAGCTTATGACTCAGTTGTGACTTGCACTTCTACATCACTATTTCCTTAACAACAGAGTCTGAACAATGAGGAAGTACGCTTGCTTTATGAACTGTTTACTGTAACAAGATGCTGTACTTGAATTAAAGCAGCGACAAGAGTAATGGATCACGTAGGGCTTCCCCTTCAAAGCTAGCAAGACTGCTAGTCAAATGTCAGAAGACTTCACTTGCCTATTTGATTAATCCTTCAGTGATTGACTTTAAAAGTTTTACTGTAGCCCCTCACAAACAAGCTCTACACTCTTTAATGTGTGCAAATCTGTTATAAGGATGATCACCACCTTCAATTAGTTATCACTTGGTAGGAAAGGTTACACATTTGAAACCTTCCTGCACCCCTGCTCAAAGTTACTTAGACTTACTTTTGACAATTAGTCTATGGCACAGAGATTTCTGGACTAACTGCAATTTTTTTTTTTTTTTATGACTACATTACCATATCCTTGTTCCTTAACTTGCATTTGAAGCTAAGTCATTCAAAAACTATGCTTTATTCTGAATGGGGGACAAATGATGACCTAGCAGGAACATGTGCAAACACATACAAAGCCTATTACCTATTTTTAATAGGTAATAAGTTATTGTTATATGAAATAAGTTTAAAGTACCAGCAGAAATATTCCTGAATATTTGTCCAGGAATTGCAAGGTATGTTACATGTTAGAAGTTGAGACTGATTCACAAACTTGCTGAAGTAGAAGAACACTAACTGTTCTAAGAGCACTTCACAAAAATGTCTCAAAATTTCAGTTAAGCAAAATTCACACATATTATTAGACAGACTTTGTGCAAAGAAAATGAGTTAGAAGTATTCATTAGCACTAACAATTGAGGAAGTCTGGGTATTCCATAAATTCTGGTAAAGCATTTAGGATTTCCAGCAGACTCTTCATAACCATGAAAGAACAATAACCAAGGGCATCTTTGTCCATCTCTTTGAAACTAGATGCATCTCCCCCTCCCCCAGAAACTGTGTGCATGCAAACACAGATCTGTGTTTATACATATGCATTCATGAAACTATACAAGCTGTCAGCTGTCAAAAATATCAAATCCATTTTAGGACAAAACTTTGACGTTATTTTCTTACAGGACATAATGTTATAATCCCCCTCACCCTCCCAAATACTTTCTTCCCCTAAGCAGCATATAAACCCATTCTTTAAGGAAACTTCTTTTATCTAATAGCTAGAAATAGATGACATCTTAACCAGCCAGACACATTTTTCTTAGCATAAACAAGCCTCATACAGAATTCCTGGAATCTCCGGTAGTACTCTAGACTACTATTAGAAAACACCCCATTCAAGAATTAGTATTAGATCTATCTCTTCTAAGACTGATAAAAGGCTCTTCAGGATTTCTGATCTTTTAGAGTAACCTCTTTTTTGGTTTTGGCAGCAAGGTTTCCATTTGAAAACTAATGTTTGTAGTCTGAAGGTTTATGCATGTTTAGCAGAGAAACTTTGAAAACACACACACACTTAAATAAGTTCTCAGAGTAAGTTTACTCTTACCTATTGTTATATTTACCAGTGGAGCAAAAGGACTGTCAGAGTAAAAAGAAAGTTTGGTCTTAAAAATTACCACTTCCTCATTAAGAAGAAATCCTGCATAGAACTTACTACTGCTCACACTTTCATGTTCTAAAACTATGAAAACACGCTCAAAGCAAGCACTGACAAACCGTTTAACATGCCTGTCAGAACTCCTTAGTATAAAGAGAAAAAGAACAATTTTCTTTCTGACTAGAGAACAGCAATCAACTCAAGGGTAGTTTTGATGAGACAAAAGTTAAAATCAACCAAGCAAAACACTAAATTTTTAGAGATATAGGTTCTAATTGATTTTTGCTATTCCAGTTGACTATGATGGTAAACTTAAAAGAAAAAAGGAAAAGAAAATGTAATTGGCAGCACTCTCCAAAGTTGCCTACAATGAAAACAATGGGAAAAAAAGGAAAGGGAATTAGATATCTATACTAACAGAAAACCCCTGCATCGCTGTCAGTGAAAGGGATTTCTTGATCTTTTAACTGGGTCCATTTCACAAGGTTTCTTTGTCTGCATGCTGCCTTGTCAGCCAATCTATTAAAATTAGCAAACAGCCCTGTAATTGTATATTACTGTTTGCATATGTTCTTTCAGATAACAGGAGTAATAGGAGATGAGGTACGTGCGTGCTCACACAGTTCCTTATTCTGAGAGTTCTGAGATACCAACATTTGCAAAAAAAAAAAAAAGCAGATTCAAGCACTAATATGCTAATATGCAATGTTGTCAAAGGACAAGCACGTTACTATTATACTGCCACTTTAAAATTGCAAGACTTTAAAATTGCAAGTAGAAGTGGGGGAAAAAAAAACACACTTTACTCTTAAATTGCTGGTAATTCATTTTTTCTCTTAGGTGCCAGCTAAGTTAAGTTTCATGCATAAAATTGCTTGCAACAGAGCTCATTGAAATTACTTCAGACTGACACATTATGTATCGAGATGGAACACTGATTATTTCAAGTAGGTAGCTTTAAGAGAGCACACATCAGCCTTCAAGTCTAACACTTACATAGTAAGACATACTGCAGAGTTAATTGATTTTTCATTTTCATAAGTCTTGTTATCAAAAAGGATCCCATTTACCTCTAAGGTATAGCTGGTTTTAGATTCCATTGCCCTGTTATTTTTTTCAGATTTTAATATTTGGGTTTCATGTATCTAAGCTGTTTTACAAATTACCAATGTTCTACCAAAGAAGAATAGTTTGGACTTAAAAGACTATAGGGTAAATCTTTCCAAGAATATTGCTATCACCAATCACTTTAAATCAAACCTTTCCATATTCTCATTAATCAACTTCACAGCGTGGATGTTTTTTAAATCAAAAGTTAATCCTAGAAGAATTGTTTCATGATACAATGTCTCAACTGCACTATTAGTTGAATTTGTGTATTGCTCTCATTGTCATACAACAAATCAGCTAAAAACTTCTGAATTTCCTTCTACACTCTGTATGTCAGTGACTAACTTTCAACAAGTCAGTCATAAACATGACTTATTAAACGGGGAATTAAAACTATAAAAACCTGCAACGTGTTAAAATGGCTATTTATCTCACATAACTTTCCATTATTAAACTTTCCCATAACTAATCTGTGCAGCCATTACCAGTATCTGAATGACCCCGCACAATAGATGGACTGCTGATCACCAAGAAACTAGTTAGCAAAAACCTTACCTATGCCACAGCAGCCTCCTTATTCCAACTTCATTTTAAAGCTTATTAAATTTTAAGAGATAGCTGATAAGAACAATACTTACGACATTGCAACATTGCTTCCATCAATAACAATATGTTTTAAATATGGATTCCCAGGTTCGTTTTTCAACTCCAGCCTGTATGGCTTTTTGAGAGATTCCATGAATCTTTGAACCCCGGTAACTGAAGGATCAATATTACGTCTGTGTGGTCCCACCGTCTCTCTATCAGGACTCGAATGATGTATTTTTACATGGGCTGTAGTAGGTTTTTCAAAATCTGATGTTTGTAAAGGGTGTTGGTTGCGTGATCTCACTTGAGAAGAGCTGCTCTGTCCTAACTGGTCCTCAGCAACAGGATGAGGATTCTGCACCGCTGAGAGCCCTGCAGATTTTTGCTGAGCTGTAGTTTTAGTCTTAGCTGAGACACGTTGCATATCCGAGCTCCCTCTGGCTACAAAATCAACATCTTTTGGAACTCCACGCTGTATAGGGCTGAAAGTTATAACACCATCAGTTTCTGTATCACTTGATGTTGAACTGCGATTCTTACCAGAGGAGTATGTATCTCTTTGCTTACAGCATTGAGTTGAACTCTTACCAGGAGAAACAGGTTTGCATATCGTGATATGCATTTGATCTTCTCCATCAGCTTGTGTACTTGGCACATCTCTTATATTGTGATGTTCATTTTTTGTCTCCTTTGAAGTATGACCGGATTTAAGTACATTTTTACTGCTAGAAATGCCTTTGTCTTCTGTTTTTTGTGAATTATTTGCATTACTTCCTAAAGGAGGATTTATAGTTCTGGGTTTCTGAGATGACAGTTCATGTTCTTTTTGAAATTTTAAGTTTTCCTTTTCAATTTCTTCTAGCAAGGTTAATGGTTCCACAGATTGTCCTAGAATGCCAATAACTTTCTCTACAATACTCTGGGAATAGCCCATTGTTCTGAAAAAGTTCACAAGAATCTTGTATTCCATTTCCTCACTGATATCATCATCTTCTTTAATAAAGTAATTGGGATCATCTAATTCACCACAGCTATCTGAAAGCAAATCAATAACTACATCCTTCCCAGAAGGATCACTGTGGGAGGTGGATTTCACTTCCTGGTCATTTTCCAAAGAGAATTGCTTTTTAGGGAGCCTTTCCTCAACATCAGAGGATCTTCTCTTACATGACTGCCTTTCTTTAGACACCCCTGCCTCTAACGAAGGCACAACATTTATGGGAACAAAACTTGTCTCAGGAGCATCAGAAAACACCGTGTCCATTTGCTTTGTAAGTTCAGTTACAGGTGTCCCAGCGTTGTTTCTTGCTTCTTCACCACCTGTTCTTCCATCTCTGTTTGTAACATTTACTTTGGAAGCTTTGTCCTGTAAAAACTCTGTTGGACTCTCAGAACCCGTAAGATCTACGATATTGCTCTCTGCCTCACAACATTCAGTTTGCGTGAGACTTAGGAGTTCTCTTTTTAATGAGCTAGGCAAAATCAGTAAATCCATTGTATATTTATCTGCATGTGCTTCCACAAATTGTCTAAATTGCTTTTTAATCTCCGATTCATTGTCACTTGGTAAGCTTTCATTATTCTCAAAAAGGTTCACAAACTGCTGAACATGACTTTGAGCCATAACAACAGCCTCTGCACCCCCTTTAATAATAAGCAGTCCTATTTCCAGCACCGTTATATCAGCACAGGTATCCTGAATAAGACTGTTGAGAAACACACTCTGCGCGCCAACAAAAATGCAGTGCATGTCCTTTGGGTAGTACTGCTTTTCTTCGAGTTCAGGTTCACACAGTCCCTTAATATACTCCTAGGAGGAGAAAAAAACAGCAGAATGAATACTTATGAAAAACTGACACACAAAATTATTCAGTAACAGACTAATACATTAGAAAATAAAGCCAGCACAGCAAATGTGACAAAGTAAATACTGCCAGTAAACCTGGTAACAAAGAGAAGACAGGTGTTAAAACAGATTTCATGGAACATAACTTCCTTTATCACTCCATTCTTTATAAATAAGTTCACTAGAAACTGAAAGTAACTGAGTATATTAGTTATACACACTGTATTGTGTACTTTATTAATGCAAAAAATCCTTACCATTCTTGATTCTGAGAGCTCTTACTATCTAGAAGCCCTCATGATCATACAAATGGCAATGCCTGTACTTGTATCTCAAATTTAAGAATGGTTAACATTTTGGTATTTGCACCAAATTCAACTTTATTGCTAATATTTACAGAGTAACTTACTCCATTGGGCTCCAGAATAGTATCTATGCTATATACAGAACTGAATAAAAAATTGATTAGCTAGCTTTCAGTTATGCCACCTTTTTTTTTTTTTTTTTATTTCAACTCATTTGAAACAAATCTTGATTTTTCTACAGTCTTTAGCGCAAAGAGTGCAAGCATTTACTATTTAACAAGACAAGCCAAAATAGATTTGTCATCCCCATTCTTCGGTCAGACAATACACACTGCATGAAGTGTGAAGTTGTAAAGACAGTTTCTGAAGGATTTCCAAAAGCTTATTGAAATGGGATTCTATACTTATAAGTAGTTATGTGTGTTATTTTGTACTTCTCACTGTGGTATGGCAACAACGTAACTAGCAGCCCCAGTAGCATGCATTAAAATATATCCTATCAAAAAATTAGGCTAAAACACAAGACAAAAACGCTATCTGGACTCTGACAGATTACATTAATAAAATACACTTAAATTTAAAAGATACAAGTGACAAAAAAACCTACTACCAAAAAAAATTACACCCAAAAAGCTTAGCAAGGCAGCTTTTCACAAAGCTTTGGAACAGTGTCTTGAAAAAGCAGATGATACTGACAAATGATTGAGAAGCTAGTTCTGTGTTAAACATGGACAATATGACTAGAAGTTTATTTATTTATTTAAGTACGTTAAAGATATCACACTATGATTTTTGCCACTCAGAAGTTACTACAGTTAAAGTAAATTCACTGTACTGCCTCATTCTATCGTAGTTCAGAAGTTTTGTCAAAACACTATACTATTTTTTTTTAAGTCAGGTACCATGATTTTTCACCAAGCTGTCCCTTTCTGCACTTAAAATCCTATAATGCAGTGAAACCAATTTCTAAGCTGCAGTCATTGCATGTGCGGATTCCCAAGCAGGCCAATTTTTATTGTCTTCTTACTCAGGGAATTTGAAATTCTCTTTCAAACCGAATTGAATTATCTTTTAAGTGAAACTGTAACTGTTTGTTACAAGGTAATGCAAGGCCACTTTCTATCATCTCTGAGTCATACCAGAGTAAAGGTCGAGGCGGAATGCTTCAAGACTGTCCTAGCACAAACTGCTTCTGCAACAAATCCACAGAATCGTGTTTTGGGCCTTAGCCATCACATGACAGCTTTTGCCAAAATCAAAAAAAGAAACTCAAGATAGGGCCCGAAGATTGCTCTGCACGGAAGTGGGAAGTCTCCCATACCCTTTCAAGTATGTAGACTAAGAAGCTTTTTGCACGTGACCAGGAAAAGAAATAAACAGAAGACTGAAGTCATCTGCCGTTTCTCAGGAGGAATATCCTTTATACAACCTGTAGCGCTTTCTGAAGTCATGAGACTGAACTAAGTCGTAAAACACGAGCTAAGGATCCCCTCCAACACAGGACTGCACCCCAAGTCGTGTGACAAGCACAGGCAGAGCCTGGGCCGTGCCTTTTGGTCAGCTCCGCGCTGCGTTACGGAGGGAGCCGCGGCGAGCAGGGCTGGCGCAGCGCGGACACGCCAGCTCCGCGAAGCTGGAGCCCGGCCAACACTCGCCCGAACGCCACAGCACAGGCGACGTGGGCACGGCACCGGGACACCGGGCAACACCCAGCCGGCCCCCAGCAACTCCCCGAGCCGGGGAGGAGGAGGAGGGGGAGGAGGAGGAAACGCCCGGGGGAGCCGCCTCTCGGCACGGCCGCGGGCCCCGTGCCAGGCGCCGAGCCCCCCCCGCAGCTCCGCCACCTCCCGGCGCAGCCGCTCCTGAGGCGGCGGCCGCGAGCTCGGTCCCGGGCGTTTCTCTTCCCCTTCCCCCGTCCCGCGGCGGCTCGGGGCAGCGCCGCACGCCCGGCAGGCCCCGTCCTCCCGGCCCGCCCGCCCCCGCGTACCTTGGCGCAGCGCACCGCCTTGCCGCCGCCCGCCAGCTGCACCCAGATCCTGGCGGCGGCCGGCGGCCGGCCCGGCGGAGAGAGGGCGGCCCGCCAGTCCTCCTGCGCCCCCAGCACGGCCAGCCGCACCTCGAACAAGCCCTCGATGCGGCCCCGGCTCCCCTCCAGCAGGCGGCTTTTCTCCGCCGGGACGGTGAACTCGTCCGGCCCCGGCCCCGGCCGGGAGCCGCGGGCCGCCCCGCAGCGAGTCGCCATCAGCGCCGGCCGCGCCGCGCCGCGCTCCGGCCTCGCATCCCGCCGGGCCGCGGGACAACAACACGGGGAATCCCCGGCCGGGCGCACGGCGCCGCGTCATCGCCCCGCGCCGGCCGCAGCAAACGGCGGCGGCACCGCCCCGCCGGGAGCCGGGCACCGCCCCGGCAGCCGCCCCGCCGCCATCTTGTGGAGGGAGGTGGCGGCCGCCGCTCTCCTCGCTCGGCTGAGGGACGCTCCGCCTCTCGCTGCTCGCTGGGGCGGCTCAGCCCGGAGCTGTGCGGGGCGCGGGGCACGGCACCGCCCGCTGAGCTCCGCCCCGCGGTGCTCGCCTCCTCAGAGCGCCCCGAAGCTGCCCCTGCGAGCGCTCAGTTCCTCACGGAGTCCCCCTCACAGAGCCGGTCCTGAGGGAGGGGCTCCTCCTGCCCCCCTACCGGGGACAACCCTTCCCTTCGTACACGTGTATAGCCCAGAGGCTCTGTGTTAAGTCACGGTTAAGTGACGTCGTGATGGATTTCATTTAGAAAACAAACAAACAAACAAACAAACAAGCCACCACATACGAAAAAGTAAGTCATCCCCTGTAATCGTAAGGGGAGAAGTACGGTTCTACCCGGCTCCGCATCGTTAACACATCGCTAGTTCACAAAAAAGATAGGTATTTACTTAAAAGCAAACAAACCAACAAAAAGAAAACGCCCAAAACAAGCAAGCAAGCAAAAACTCTTGAAATGTAAAGGATAAAATTAGTTTATTAAAAGTAACTCTGTGGCTTTATGAGAGTCTTCAGTCCCTGGAGTTGATAAAACTGAGTAACTTGTAGAAAGGAGTAAACACGTAAAGCTTTTTTTTTTTTTTTTTTTTTTTTTTTTTTTTTTTTTGGTACTCTTCATGCTAAACTGGAAAAGTAATAAATATATAATACCTTTTCTCCAAAGACACTTGTATCCCTATTTAGAAATTTCTTAACCAAATGAGAGTTTGCAGTTAGGCAGCACATCTGAAAATCTCCAGGTATGGCCATGTACTTTTTGCTACCTGCATTTAAATTTTTATTTCTCTCGGTGCAATGTAATTTTGGTCTGTGGCATGGTTAAATGAGTGAAGTTACATCTCTGCATACCGCATGTATACATGTCTATGCGTTCTAAACAGGATATGGTTCTGATGTTGGTTGCCATACTTGAAAAAAACGCTCTATTTTCCAGAAGATATATATATATGTTCTTGAAGAATCCCCTTACGTGTAGTTTAAACATTTACGTTTTTGCTCCCTTGTCAGTTAAATTCCGTAACACTCCCTTTCTCCAGCATTCCCATTATGTAATGCTCAGCTGGGCAATTTCTTGAGGTGATTGGTGCCATCAACTGTTAAATTGTGGTCACTGCAGCCGTTGTTGCATTATAGACCATTAACCGCACATGAAATTATAAACAAGCTTTATATTAAACAAACAAACAAAACACCCACAAAGCACAGTATTTTGAGATACAAAATATAATTAATAATCTGAAAGAAAGTTCTTTAATTTCTTTCTATTATGTCAACACTGCCTTTTGTAATGTCCTAGGATAGCTGAAAGCTTACTGGTTTCAAAACAAAGTGGATAATGTTTAGTGCTCTTTATACTTTCTTGTGGTGTTTTGCCACCCTGTGTGTTATAAAACTTGTTCTCAGAGCTGAATTTACTGTAATCTGTATAATTCTGAAAGAATTCTTTATAGTCTGTGTTCAGAGGTGATTTACATCATTGCAATGGCCTGAAACTGCTTCCAGGGAAGTCATTCTGAGTGACTATGGTCCTGTAAGATATGATAAGACTAAGTAGCATGTGACATTTTAACATACAAGACAAACTAAAGCCCTTTTTAAGTGGAAAAGACCAATATTATAGAAAAGGCTTGCTTCTGTTTACAAACAAAGATGAATGTAAACAGTTGGATTCTTTGGGGCTTTGAATGTTTGTAAAACAAGTTGGATTTTTCTTCCTGCATTGTTGTGACTGAGAACTCGAAAAAATATTTTGATTGTATCAGTTACTTTTTTTTTTTTTTTCTTTTTCCCCCATTTTGAAACTGCAGACTTAACCTTTCTCATACTTCGTAGGAGTTGTAAGCCTCTTGTCCCAAGCTTATATTCAGGTGTACTAAAACCAGACATGTGCTAGGTTGAGAACACCAGAAATTCTGGTACTTTTTATAATAGGTTGCTTACAAAGAGGATTTGTCAAGGAAGGAAGAATATTCCTACCTACAAGCTGTTCACAGTAGAATATCCAGAATGATAGGCCCTGTTCAGTTGGAGGGGAGATTTCAGTTTCCTGACCTTTGGGGCACATCTTGTAAACTGACTTGAGGGAAGGCAAAATGCAGCATGTAACTGGTAGCCGTCAAGGCAATTGGTGACAGTGCCTGCTCTTGCATTTCCAGCTGGAACACCAATGGGACATCTCACAAATGGTTCTGACGGTACAGTAAGCAAGTTGTTGGCATTATTTGTATTAGTGTTAGAGAAATACTGTAATCCATAAGTATTTTTTAATTTAATCTTTTAAAATAGCTTGCTTCAGCTGCCACCTACAACTTCTTGCTGTGCATTAAAATGCCTGCAATTGAAAAATAGTTGTATAAATGGTTTTGTGAAACTGTGTCTTCCTGAAGTGTTTGGGCTTGAGTTGTATACTTGAAATAGGACCTGTGCTAGTTCAAACAATGTGGAAATAGAATCTTTAAGTTATTTCTGATCATGAACAGCTGTGCAGTCTATGATGATGCACTTTACAGATTCTGCTATGATCCTCATCTTATGGTCTTCACTGGGGTTATTCTTATGCATAGATTTAAATATCTGTTCTACTCTTTGCAGGGTGGAGACCTACAATACTGGTTTGTAGAAAATATCCTGCATTAATTTGAGTAGCAGAAACTTGGTAGTAATAACATAAATAATGTAGTTGCATAATATTTCTAAATCAATACCTTAAATTCCATATATCTCCAACCAGAAAAACAACCATACTAGGGCTCTCAAATCTTTGTGTAATATAATCCTAAAACTTTAGACAGTTTCTGATTATATCGTACTTTCATTAGGCGATTTTGCTATATGCTTGAATTATTTTTTGTTTGTTTACAGAAGTACAAAATGACAAAAAATGGTTTGATATAAAATAACTTTACAATGCTTTATAAGGATGAACTTCTAGACTTTTTTCATGTCTCCAGTTATGCCTGGCAGACTTTATACTTGCTTGAAGCCCTGGTGACACTTGTGATTAAGAAGGTTTCCCTTTTGTGGAGCTTATTGCAATGCAGAGGCCTTAATGAACTCGTAGATCAAAGCTTTTTTCACTTATTTCTTCAGTATCAAGAGCCAAACTTTTTGAAAATAATCCAAAGCGTAGGTTCTGTAACTAGCAGTTTCTGTTATTAATCCTTTTCTGTCCCTTAGTTTTAATTGATTACTTTTTTTATTTTTGTTCCAAACTATTTTAAAAAGAATCTGTTGTGAACATTTGAATCTTTATAAAAGAAAAGACAAAAGTATCGAAGTTATATATGCATCAGTCGCTGAAAGTTGGTATTATTTTTCTCTGCATAATGGGATTTGTATTTGTTTTTTGAGGCTTTTTGAGTGTGTTTTCTGGAGTTTCCTAATTAGTTACAAAAAGCTGCAGGTGTATTGGCAAAGACTGGTATTTAGTCTGGGAAATATTCCAGAAGACTTTTTTTTTTTTTTTAATGTAAATATTTACCTCTATTATGAGTCACTTCAAAGGTGACATACTATATGTTTGCTGTGTATTTAAATGCTGTGGCTTCAGTGGAGTAACTGCCAAAACACCTGATCATGTTAAGAATATAATTGTTGTGAGAGGGCACTGAACACCACTGAATGACTTACAGAGATGACAAGTGGTATTTGAAGGGAAGTCACCCTCATGCAGCTGTCTGAGGAATATATAGCCCAGCTTCAGCTGCAAAGAAAGTGTGCTTGCTCAATTGCCACTCTGTGAATTAAGAAGTGGTTAACTTTAGCAAAGTTTCTGCAATTGCAAAAAGGAAAGTGGTAGTCTTGGTAAAGCTCTTTCAAATAATTTTTTTAGTTCATGAAAAGCTAGACTTAGAATCCATTATGGTTTACTTCTGCAGCCTGATATTTTTTTTTTATTATTATTATTTTCATAAATGAACATCTTGCTCCTATTCTCACTACAGGAATTTAAACCCTGTCTGTAAAGCACTGACTGTGGTGGCTAAGCAGTGTTCTTGCATGTACTGTGCCTGTTTGGTAGCTGACTGCTTTTGGGCTGGGACCTTCCAGGGGGGTTCTGCTGTTCTGGGAAGTTTACTCCAGAGTAAAGGAGTTGGTGGACAGCAGCACCAACAGTTGAAAGGTGTAATGTGTGTAATAAGCTCCAAGGCTTACAGACTTTCTATGAGAATACTCTAAAGTAAGTGGGACTAATTGTCAGCTGTTGTAAAATAGAATATTTTCACCAATTTCAGTTAAATTTGATGTGAACCAACTGGACATGCTAGGCTTGCATAATAGTGGTGAAAATAGCAAACTGAGCTGTCCTTCTTTACATAAAAACAGTGATGCATTAACATTTGATTCCAGTGTATTTTATTGCATGTCGCAGAGCAAAGATAGTTTAATTAAATATCAGTGAAGGGCTTTTTCTAGACAGAGACCTCTGGGAATTGCTTTAACCCTCTAACATTTAGAAAGCATATTTAGAGAAATGGGATGCCTCTTTTTATGTGCTTGTATTAGCAGTGGTGGAAGAAAAGAAGGCGTTTTCAGGAAGGTGTGATCCCATTTCACCCTGCTCCACCAGACATCACAGAAGTTAGCTCTACATTTTGTATTCTAATGAAGGCTCCTAGATCAAACTCTTGGAGAAACTTGGAAGTTATTTCATATGACAGATGAAATTTTGGAAATTTCTGTCAGTTACATCATGAACTTCCTTGTACTGGTATCCTGTCAGTCTCCAGTCATCTGCAGTCTATTAAGTCGTAAAACAACAAACCTTTTCATAAATGTAGGAGTACAAGAAGTCAGCACTATCTTTGACTGCATTTGAGCACTGCTAAATGAAGTTTTGCCATGGAGATAAAATATTATTGTTAGAATTCTCTGCCTGGTCAATGTCTACAGTTCAGTGGTTTAAAACCATCCTCTATGACTTAAAACACTTTATATTTATTTAAACCTGTGTATTGCTTCTGAGTCCAGTTAACTGATAGTGATTTATATTAGGTGAGGATCAGAAAGGGATTAATGGTTTACTGATTTAAATGCTGACTGATTTAATTTTGTTTATTTTTGTACTGTAAACAA